TACAAAACCGTCAAATTTATCTTATAACAAAAAGGAGTTTGTGAGTGGTTTTAACAATATTTATGACTAGTCATGATGAGCATAAGATTATGCATGTTACGAAGTATTGTAATCACAATAGATCATTTAGTGAACCGGCGAAAATCACTCGGATTGTTTTCGGAATTCATCGTTACTGCGAGGATTGATTGTTCGGGTTTATAGTACGTGTTCACAATGTTTCTATCCAACTGTCTAACTATCTTCTATTGGCGGAAAAATGTAGAGAGAAAACTGGCTTCACAGATAAAGTCTGCTCACATCAGTCAACTGCGTCGAAGATTACTCACTTTTTTGTGACTTGACCCTGCTGATATGTTTCCGATTTATACATACCGAAAGTAGAAGATCTGAAGAGGGGTTAGCATCGAATAACCAAAGGCTAATGTTGTTTTAGTAACGTATTTCAGAAAAAATCGAATCGGTGAAACGGCTAGAGGGAAAAGGCTTCATTTTTGTTCTTATTATTTCATTAAGAACACAAAATTTAATGAACTGGAACTTTGGTGGATACGTGGTTACATTTTAGGTTTGAGGCAAAACTCTGAATATACCTGACTGAATAATCGGTCGTGTCGATCCAAAGTTTTTAGTAACTTATGCAAAGTTTTCGCTGTCACTTTGCGATCCTGTGATTTTTTGCCAGGTAAGTGGTCGAAAAACACTTAAGATGATTTTCTTGCTAGATAAGCCGGTTTTAGCATATCACTACTTCTGAGCTGTTGCTTCCTAGCTTTTGTATCAGGAAATGTTTCGGATTACTTGAAATAGCTTTGTATGGACATTCAAACGGAGGAATAAATGGTGCTATCGATTTGTCACACCTTATCCAGACGTGTATGTAGTTTCTTTTGTCCTTAAGTATGTATTTCGCTCGTGATTGTTCACGAATATTAATTGGTTTAAGCTCGAGCATTTAGTCTTGTAGTTGGTTCACGTAACTTTGTAAACTAAGCTCATCACCATCAGTACGATAGTTGATAAATTCACTTGATAGTCCTAGAATCATCATGAAGACTATTTCTGTTTCTGAACACTGAAAATCAGTTTTAAAATCTCATTGTATCCTCAGCATAATTAATGACAAGAATTCTGTACACTGATTGCGGTTTGAGTGCGATATAAGGGCAACCTTTATTTGATAGTGAAAACGTTCTACTATACCGTTAGCCCGAGGATTATATGCAGTGCAAACTATTCTGTTTGAGCCTGGAAATTTAGATAAGTTGATGAATCGCTAAGGTCTAAATTGGGCTTCCTTATCGGTCTTTATTGTAATAATAATATATTCCATAGTTCGCAGTATGCATGTTAAATAAATAAAATCTATAAAGGCTAATATCAGTTCATTAGTTCAGATATACTGAGTGGTCTTCAGAATATTCTCCAAAGTGGCATCGCGCCCACGTTGCACACCGAATCCGATCTCCGCATTACTGTTTTAGGGTTTTGGTCGTGCTAAGTACTTATGCACTGCAACGTTTCAAGTTCATAGTTGTTATAAAGTCGACTTGTAGAGCGCTTGGTGTGGACAATGACTTTGGGAAAACGCGCACATCGAGTTTGTTCCAGATGTCAGAAGTTCCATAGCTGTGCCCTCAGAGCATGATATTGAGGAAAAAAGGGAAATCGAGGAGCGGCAAGGCACTTGGATATGGACGATAAACAATACTTAACATTTTGTAGTGAAACAGACAGGTGTAACAAATGACTAGATTAAATTCATAGTAGCTCTTGTAGCTAAAGTGAAATGTGATCAGAGGCTCCAGATGAGAGAATGCAGTAACAAAGTACAATGACTTGTGATATTTACCAAGGTGAAGGAATGGAAGTCAAATTTGGATGACGAAAGGCTGTTTATTAGAACAGAAAGTGTATATAGAGAGTAAAGTGTTAAGAAAACTAATAACTATGTATTTTATTGTCTGATTATTTTTCCAACCGAAGCCTGCCACACAGTCTCAATGTGAATGTCCGAGCTAGCGTTTTATAAGTTGTCATAGTAGGATAGCTAATCCAGCATCAAATTGGAAACATGAGTCTAGATGATGAGTGTAGGAGAACAACCTCAATATCACAGATTGATTGACTTGTTCTCAAACATAAAGAGTCTGATACAAACAAAATGTTCTGTCCCACAAACATGGGTGGATTTAAGTCATCGCCCTCACCATCAATGCCTGCTGGTCATTAACTCCACCCTCCCTCCTTTTGTGATGTTAGGTTCATTTAAGCTTATTTTTTGGATATATATCATACCTCACACGATGCTCTGTGTTTCACATTCCGTTGGAAAACACTATTTCTATAAGTACCATTTTACAAGCTTCTCAGGCAGTTATAAATTATGGACTGTGGGTAAGTCATCGATGCAATGCTTTAATTGATAACGGTATAAAGTATAGGTTGCCAATCAGAGTATAGGCTTCAAGAAGGGTAAATTTTGGGATAGTTGTTTACCAAAGTGGGTGGAGAAGTATAGAGATATACGAGTTATAGATAAGGTGACAAGTGGTGAAATAATATTAATGGCAAGTCAACAGCTGATAAAGAGTCGGCAAGAAGGAACTCACATTAACCTGGTGATGTCGTTATTTTGCTCGATCCTAACTTGTTGATGAGTAACAGGTTCCATAGATGCGAGACCACTGGTAGTAGGCAGTCAATTGTACGGTTTTTACTTATTAGGGTAGTAGTGAGCGTCTCTTAGCGACTGAGTATCGATATGTCCAGTGAGTCACCTGTCTAATCCCAGTAAAAAATTAGGGAGGGATAGGTATCCATTTCAACTACAAAGTAGGAAAATGAGGCAATTTGGTCTATACATGTAAAGAGCCTATAATTTCTGTGTGAGACGCATATGTGTTCGTTTGTGCTAGATCTGTGCAATTGGGGGCTTGATCAATAAGTCTTACAGACGTATGTAGATCATCTGCCATGCGCATTTCAGAGAGAAGACTGCTCCACATTGTTACATACTTATTGAGGAAGAATAGGTGTGCCAAAATGGTCACCCACTTCCGCATGGAAATCTTGGCCATTAGTTCGCCTTTGATGTTCGTTACTAGTATGGCCATAGGAAACTTCATGAATTGATCTATACACGTAAACGGATAATTCAAAGAGCGGCAAAGAGCCCACTAAGCAGACATGCGTATGGGCAAATCGCGCAACTGACTGTGAGAAAACACCGATGAGTGGGTTTGTGTGACGGTTGACTTTTGGCAGTTGACATACCGAGCACTCTCTATTCCGTTTGCGTACATCCTTCTGTACATTTGGCCATATATATCCGGCATTGATTATTTTAGTCGAAGATTTTGCACCAGGTTGAGACAAAGAATGAACGTTATAATATATTAATCCTCCCATATGTTTAGGGACAAATGGTTACAGCATTACTTTGGTCATGTCACAGTAAATCAGAATACCGTCAATAAGTGGTGGTAACTTAGGTTTGGGACTAGAATTGTTTGTTGTAAGCAGGTTCATAATTCTCGTTCCTCTTCCTTGTTGTCCCTTAACGTCTCGAAACTTTAGACTATTGTTTCACGTTCATTTATTGCCGAAATAATGCATTTGCCACCTGATTATCTTGACCTTCGATATGTCAGATATCACTTGTAAAATGTGGTATTGTCAATGTATCGGACCTTTAGAGGAGAATATTTATCGGTTCTAGCTCTTAATAATTGGTTAGCGGTCTTTAATCCGTACAAACTATGAATTCTCTGCCTTCTAACTTGTGTTAGAAAAGCCTAATAATTAGGTGGGTTTCAAGAAGCTCCTATCCAAAAGTAGAATTTCTAGTTTATCCTGGAGTAAGTCTTCCTGAGAAGAATGCAGCCGATCCCCAGTCGTTTTAACGAGTTGGTGAGGGATACCGCCTACTTCTTTGTACGAAGTATCCACCATCAAAGCGAGTGGAGAATGGGAATTCTGATGCGTCAACGTAGATACTTGAGGTAGTTAATCTTTTAGCTATTTAGTTACCTCAACAACCTCAGAAGTCCCCCTAAATTCTTCTAGTTTTCTTTTAAGTGAATCTGTCAAAAACTGCATCAGTTGTGCACACTTGGGTATGAATCTTCGAGAAATGTTAATGAGTCCTAGAAAATCTCTATGTTGTGACAGAGAACTTGGTGTGGGATATTGTCTGATGGTGTCCGCCTCTTTTTTGATCGGTGTAATCCATTTTGAGTTTACTTCGTGTCCGAAAAATTATAGAGTTTGCGCAATGAAAACACACTTAGTTTGATGTATGTTTATTCCATTTTCATGTGACCTTTTTAACACTTCTCTCACATGCTATTCGAGTGATTTCCAAACTGACAAATGACAAATCGTTTATATACCCCTGTGAAACTGGTATGTCTCGAAGTAGGTTGTTTGAAAATCTTCAGAGTGTTTATGTCTCATTCCTCAGGCCGAATGTCATGCGTGCAAACTCTAACGGTTCAAAAGGTGTAGTAATATGTCTTAAGTATGCCTCCATCGTCTACTGATATGTTGTGATGTGCTCCTACCAAATCTTCTTTAGTGAATATGTTCGCATTCTGCAAGTAGTCTGCAAGATCTTGGATCTCAGGTATTAGGTACCGATCTGGCGGTTGAGGGATTTGTTATCTCCTCATGGTTTCCAGTCACCCTCATTTTTCTTTAGGACCATATTTAAAGGGGTTGCTGGTCAAAATAATTCCAATGGCCTGAATAATACGTTCGATAAAATTCGAGATGTAGCAATTCATAAATGACTGCCGAATCCATTAAAAATAACACATCGAATGTCTCGACTACTAACTTCAGACGCAAAAAAATGCCTAAAATCATACACGTCAAGAAGCACAAAAAGGGAGCATTTTGTTACATCAGATTATCATAAAGATTTTGGATGGGAAAACGAATATGGATATAAATATTTTGGTTTCTTTTGGTAAAAACAGCAATAGTGGGCATTGAAGATGGGTGACATGACAACCAACATATCACTTACAAAATCAAGGTTATCAGGATCTGTGATGTGTAGTGTTCAGAGAAAGTTGAGTCACTTCAAACAATGCAAAAGAGGTGAGAGTAACAATCCTATCCGACACCCTACTTTCTTTAAAACGCCACACATTCAATATTGTGGTGACTATAATTTAGAAGCAAACGTATGTCGTACCTCAGGATTCGTATCCAATATAAGACCATCAATTCGATACAACGGTAAACTCGATGAGAAAGACAACCCAGCTTTCAGGTATTCACCTAATGATCGATATTATTGATTTCAACAGAAACATACTGAGAAGTAATTACCTTTCCACAAACCATAAAGATTTTTTGCCGTATTCCATGCCATCTGGGAAAGAAACTTTACCTTACCTTACAAATCAACTAGCAAACGAGACAAACGTATCAAAAGTCTTTTCGGTAAACGCATATGTTTCTATTTATAAGTGTACAGACAGGAAACTATTTTTTTGAACAGAAGTTTAAAGATATCTTTACTCCAATACTACCAAAGGGAAAACTTGTACTACCAACAAAAGCAGGTTCTTGTAACATCGAAGACGAAAACTTCCGTCATGTATGTCGTGAATTGACATAAATGATTTCAGGGCCTTAATACATATTCTATGACCGACGTAATCCATTACAGTCGAATTAAACCAAGACCGTGTAAGTTAAATGCTGTATCTGTAATCCAACTTTCTCTGAACAGAAAGCTAAGTAAGCCCCCAAATTCATTAGGCGTCTAAATTGTACTTTGTATTCACGTCTACCGTTTGCATACATACCTTATACTTTTAGTTGAAGAGGATATCAGAGAGCTATTTTTCTCATTTTCAGCCTCTTTCCATATTTTTTATATTTTATTAAACAAATCAATCAAAAAACAAATTTTGCTTTTTTATAGAGCGGTTGTAGCAACTGATTACTTTTGGGAAGTCACAGAGTCCGTGGAGATATGATATGCCCATGGCTTTAGGACTAACGTTCTGTGTTCTCTGAGTCCTTCTAGCCTAGTAGGGGTAAGAAAAAAATGAATGCTAGGTCCAAATCTATTTATTCACATCTTACATACCATGGTTAAATAGCCACGTTGTATAATTTCTCAGTTGCTGGGGACAAAAATAAATATGTCTTTTTATTATTATAGTCGTTGTCACCCATATTTGAGATATGGGTGGAATTATTTAGTAGTTTCGGTAAAAATTGAACAGATTGAAGCTTTTCGATGATTATTTCATATCAGTTACGATTAATTTTTCGCTTATGGTGGCAGAAATCAATATTTACACTTTATTAGCCGTAGTCAAGTGATCTCTTCATTTGACCTAAGTTTGTTTGTCTCTCTTAAGTTTTTTTTTACATCGGCCTTAGACATATTTTAGTTATTCTAATTGTTCGTTTGGGCTTTCTTAAGTCAACTTTATTCTCCACTGATTAAAGTATACTTTAACTTTGTTTAGATGATATAACCTATTTTTAACAAATGCAACAGTGCAATTCTGAGTTAAATAAGATTCAAAAGTGAAAAAAATTAGAAACTCAGGATAACAATAGGTTTAATTTACAGAGGAAGCATATTTTTAATGATTTTCAGGCCTTGTATTATTCCTCTGATATACTTATAGGGTATCCTTTACAAGTCTATTGATTCTTGTAAGAATGGGCTTTGGGTGGTGCTCTAAAATTTGAGGTTTTTGTCATTCGCATTTTTTAACAGTTAGCGCAACCTCTATACTAATAGATTATTAGCGCTTATTCCAGGAATTCCATTCAACGTCATAAGAAAGTTTAGGTTATGATGATTGTCCTCAGGAAACATTTTGCCGCCATCACACTTCAAAACAGCCAATAATTAGATTTATCTATCTGATCCTACGTTTCTACTTTTAGTCATACTATTTTGGATCTATGTCTGTTTTCACATCACGACTTCCTGAATACAGTGGAGAAAATCATATCAATTACCTGTCAAAAATGCTGATTCACATTCTTCAACTTAAAGGCTTACATCATGCCTCCAGGTTTTTTTATGTTGATAATTGACCATGAAGTAAATTTAAACTGAAGTAATGTATCGCTTTCTACGTTTTATCTGAACTACAATTTCTACTCTTTCTTGTTCATTTTTAATAATCCGCTGATTTTGTTGTTAGACGGATTTCACAATGTTTTGTGTAGCAAGTATATTTTTTGGCTCCATACTGTATCAGTGCTTTGTGCGCCAAACTTCAGAGACAAAACAGATAATCAGTACTTTTTGTTAATTATAATAAACCCAGTTGAACAGAGCAATAGCGCTTAAATTTTGACCAGGCTGTTACTCTGAGTAAAAGAGTGTAGCCCAGTTACGGATTACTACAGTAGACTTGCTAGGATATTTTAAGTACCGGTTACGGCTAAAACACCTACAAGATAATGAGAATAAAAGGCTAAAGTAATCGTTTTAAATCCATGATCTTACAGTAACGCTGAAACTTTTAACTTGAGTTATTAAATACAAAATATGTCTGATAACAAGTCATTAACCATCAATGCGAGTAAAACTTAATAAAAGGCTAACAGTTTATCGCTCTTAAACTGGTTTCTTACCGCGATTATTTTGCAGCGTGGTATTTCTGAACGTGAACGAAAACTAATCAAGTACGATAAGATTATTTGACTTGTAGCCATGCATTAATGCAATTTCTCAACCATCAAAAATCAGAAATTTAAGTGTTGAAAGAACGATCGCTCTAATCAAACAAAATAATATCTGGAGAGTTAATTAGTTACAAAAGCTTTCAAACGAGAATTGTAAAGGAGTGAATGCATTTACCATGCTCATACTGATCTTTTCACAGTCTTGTGAAACTACTTAAATCAACGTCTATAATATGTTAAACAATAGTGTTTAATCGCGGCAATGAAATTTATTAGAAAAATGCTTAAGACATATTATAGGCTATATTTTGTTTTTACGACTCATTTTAACCCTGTCATACAACAGACTGTTTAATTGGCGGAGAGCGATCTGTCTTGACGAAGTTGTGTTCTCTAGGTGTCGACTACCCTACAAAATAATATCTTTTTGAGTTGATGAGCCCACTGCAATAAGTTTTACTGATGTATTGAGTATATAAACGCCCGAGGTTTTAAAGTAAGCGAAAACAATTATTCAGTTTAGAAATCATAAATATATAATTTAGTCATTTTCTATGTTATCTTTCATTTAAATCTCATTGTGCTTATCATACACATGTGCTTGAATGCACTATGGACGTTAGAATTGCACTCCCAGATTTTTCCACATTTATAGATATTTTCCATTCGTATTTTTACCAAATAAATTGTTAGTATTTTACACAAAACTTCAGATTATTTGTTTGGCATATTATTTATCTTCATATAAGCAACTAGAAAATAATTACATCTATCATAAACCTGAAGTAATCATCGAAATTCTTCTATGTTGATTCAAAATGAAAGTTCATTTTTTTATCGACAGGTTGATTTTTTTGTTACAAATTTGTATTTATTGAACAATACTTGAAATTTGTTGTGAGAAATCAGAGATGACTAGTTATCTTAAAGTTATTCCGTCTGCTACAACCATGGACAGACGTCAAACTTCACTTTCATTTCTGACAGTGTCAATCTTTTGTTTTTTAACGTTAGAACTTTAACCTTCCGTATATTTCAGATGATATGTTCAAAGTTACTGTCGGTCGTAAGGAAGAATCTGGATCTACTAGTAGTATAAGCAACTTTAATGCAATCAGCAACCGTTTCAGATACTCGTTTACAACTGTTCAACCAGGTCGGAAAACTGATAAATTAGCAGGCCAAACTGCTTATATGAGTGATTTTAGACCTTTTTGTTATAAAAATGGTTCTGAGCTTTTCTCAAATTGGGTAGGCAACTTATCGCACCAGGAGCCAACTGATTATGTTATTCAAAATAAAATTTGGCCTGAATACAAAAGTCATCATTCATATTATGTAAGCCATTGGTCTTTTAGAGGTAACTTTTGTTAAATAATAAACCGGATAATCAGTAAACTAAGACACGGATTGTTTTTAATCGTGTTAATGACTACGATAGGGAGACAAATAAAAACGTAGTATAAACCACAGAGGTGGTTCGAGAAAAATGATCAAAATCTACAATAAATCTGGAACAGAGAAATCAGCAATAGATGATCAACAATGAACAAAAAAGGACTATTAGACAAAGGAAACAAGTCAATTTTAACAATATCTTCGAATGGGTTATCTGGCTAACTGTCGTTAATCCTTAGTAACATTACCAGCAGTTTTCAACCACTGATTTAAAAAGCCTCAAGTAATACTATCAAAACGCATTTGTCTCTCTACACAAATTACACTGATGGCCATTTACTTTATGGTAACATATATCTACATTATTGTATGTTACATACTTTAAATTTATTCATATTATATGAGTTCACTACTGTCGCATTTTCCTGCATATACAACGAACTATCTCGAAGTTTAAAGATTCTAAACGGTTACCAAATTTTAACTGAAAACCTCTTTACCTTTTTTAGTTTATTTTGTCTTTAGTATTCACTGACTAAAAAGGTTAGATATGGATAGATCGTAAAGATATTTTATGTTTAGCTTAAAAAATAGTATTCGAATTGAGGAAAATAAAATAAAACCGAATCGTTGGTATCAAATCGCTATGACAGTTTGGAAACCTTATTAGTAAGGGTGCAAAGTTTTCCATCTTTTATATCAAAGACTGCAATCTATTGGTCTCTATTACCATATGTGAATTCTTGAAAGATTTTTCCAGCACTTCCTTTTCTATTTAAAATGTTGATATACTTAGATTCTAACTAGCAGTGTAATCCAGAAGGTTTGTTTTATCCTACTCAATATCGATCAGCTGAACGGACCTGGATTGCTGTACTGATATTCATATTGGAACTTGAGCCCAGTACCTATCACTTCAAGCACTGAGTCACTCCATAGATCAACATCATTGTTAACCCCACATTGGTCTTGTAATTGAACGGTACTGGCTTTGATTCTCAGTGTAAACAACAGAATGGATAAAACTGTGTTCACCTTAGTCAACCAATACGAAATTAATTGCACTACCTGGTTTCCACTGCCAACCACAATCCATTCAAACATGAAAGTCTGGAAAACTGTAGTTCTTTGTATTTCAAGAAAAAACTCATAAAACACTTCCTCTATCTCTTGTCAGGAGGCTTGAAAGCTTTTGCTGCAATTGATGCATTTAGAGTTGTAAGGATAATAATATTTGTCAGCCAAGACATTCTTCATTTTATTATATTACTGTCAAACACTTGATTCTGGAGGCTACTTAAGACATGATGGTATAACAATAATAGATGCTGATAAGATCAATATTAAATAATCTAGTTATTCATTCTTTCGCCATTAAATTATTTAGATATTTAAGCACTCTGAGGATTTTCCAGAAGTATATTTGGAAAAGTTAAAGACGAATGATTCAGCCGAATATCAAAGTGCTACTCATAAATCCAAAGAACCAAGGTAAAACATATTTATTGTTTTATTTATTATTCTTATTAATACATCTCAGTAAGCTAAAAACTACTGCTATTTGATAGCTCACCAGCTAGTTTGATGACAAACTGGGTTTGAAAAACTATTGTTCTGGAAATTACGACCACCTGCGACTAGACTTAAAAGCATATTTAGAAATGATATCAAGAATGTTTTCATATCGTTATGCTAATTGTCCACTTTTTAAAACAAACTTATTAAACTTAGTAGCTGTCTAAAAAATCAGTAAATTATTTGATCATTCTTCTTTATTCATATATAAAGCGCCTAAGTAACCACTTTACAAGGCAGGTCCGTGAAATAGTAGTATACCTACTCTGCCCTTAGTTTAAAAATAACGAGTATTGATCTAGTCTCTAGCTATCAAATAATGTGCGTTTTAAAATCTTGCACATGAATCTGGGCTTTGCTATCATGTTGAGTTGGCATGGTAAGCCCCGATATCTTTGTAGATAACAGTTAAAGATACATTGTCCTTCGGATGTCCGCTAAAATAAGTCAACTAACTCAGAGCTGTTGTCTTTAAATCTAGTTTACAGTGATGCCTAATTTCTGAGATGTAACTTAGATCCCGCAATCACCATTATTGGGTTTAGCATTCTGTAAAGTTAAATGGAAATTTATTGTTTGGTCTTTTGGTGTATGACGAAGAATTTTTTTTGCAGTTGCACTGTTAACTAAGACATCGTTTTACCCAAGAAAAACTTATAAATACATCGTTTCAGAGTGTTACTAGGCGGCATATTATCAGGTTAACATCCAGCGAGCAACATATTATAAGTTAATTAATTATTAACTATTTTGTTATCCATTATGACGACCTGAAAAAATTGTACCCTGTTTACGCAGAGAGCTAAATATGTTGATATTTTCTCTTGTTATTACTTTGACATTAATATAAATAAATACTGAACGGTGTAACATGTATGTGATTGTATCTGCCTGTCACTTGTTAATAACCAATCTCATGATATCTGGACATTGGTAACCACAAAGTTAAGATTATATGTCTTATTGTAAACCATTTCACGCTGTGTGAGTGACATGGTGGTGACCTTTTCTATTATAACGCTAAGTAAAGTAGATCCAAATATCTTCGAGATAGAAAAATTTTAATACACGTTATTGATGTAATTTACTGATGCATGTTTACAGGTATGACGAATCGTCCCATGGGTTCCCAATGACTGTTCAAAACAATGTGTTAAAATATGTTCTGTATGATAATGAAAACTGAATACAATGTAGAAGAAAAAGGATTCCAAGTTTCAGATTTGTAGACAAACGGAATTTTCAGAAATAGATCTAGCTTACGCAATTATCACTTTTCATGACCAACTAAACTATTTTTCTGGTGATTTTGGTAATAGGAATGACCATAGTTTGGCTGTTTTTCATTCATAGGTACTTTGAAATTAATGAAGAAATTCCATCGCTTATAAGAACAAACCATATATTAGCACTGGTCTGTCATAATTTCCGAAAAATCAATGAAATCTCCTGGTGAATATTTACATTAAAAACAGTTTTTTTCACCTCACCAGATTAAATTGAAAGTAATCTACTGCAAAAAGTTGTAAACTTTCACACATACACTTTCAGTTTATTATCTTGAAGAGAACAACAGCAAACATTTGAGGAGAACATGATGAACTAATTTTATTTTGCTAGGGTGTCGTTAGCTATTTACAAACTATAAAATACTTTAAAATCAAAATCACCATATAATTAACTAAATTATACTGGAGAAATCAGTCAAAATTGAATAAGCATCGTTGTAGTGGAGTAAAGATTGCAATTAAGTTGACGAGTTTGGAAAATGTTGCAAGTCAATATACTGTCCAAATAAAGATCATAGAGTGCCAAAACAGCTACTAAAGTTCATAAAACTAAAAATTCACTTAATTGCGTAATGAAATAATCGAACCCAGGTTAATTGCAATATAGAATAACATGACTTGAGATGTCATTCATTAGTAACATTATGCATGTAAAAAACCCAAGAATAATGCTATCAAAGTGTGAGAAAAGTTTACAACGTGATGTAATAAAATAATCATATTGTTGCCACGATAAAGAATGCTTCACGTCAGTTTTCTTTTGGACACATTTATCTGTTCTTAGGTGCTTGATGGCTATGACTTCAACAAATTTCAGAGCACTGTCTATTAATCAACTTGGAAGATTCAAATAGATCAACCTGTCGTCCTACGTCGAAGATTTATAATGAAACAAAACTACTGAAAGCCTTTAATAGGTTTGACCTCAAACGTTTAGGAATGCTTCCTTAAAATCGAGAGTATCCCTGTGGTATTTGCAGTCCTACTGGTTATGTTTAGAAACAAAAACCACTTCAATCCCCACAACGCAAAATAAAAAATAAAAAGAATGGAACAAGTGTAGACTCATTAACTGGTCAAAAAACACTACCTTGTTTTTACTTTGAGGTATAACTGTCGATCTTTGGCTTCGTTAAAAAAACATGTTTTGTGCGAGACCATTAGTTTGGCTGCATGATACGTGTTTAATTAAGTAAATTAAGCCCAGAGTTTTAAGAAGTGTCATTAATACGGGATTTGGTTAACATCTAAAAATATCTCAATTGCTTGCTAGCTTCGTACTAGTCAGTTGAATACATTTTCCAAAGAGTTTTTTAAATAAATTAAAAAGCTATTTACAACCATCAGCATCCAGATGTATTACTTCTTAGTTGTAACTTACGTCTTATTATACAGTTACATCTTATATCACTGATTTTCGTTGGGGTACGGGAATAACCATTCAAAAGTATTCTAATCAACCGCCCGATAGTAATCAGTCATATGTTCCTCAAGGTATATTGTCTAACCAAACTTTTCCTGTTGATGTTTGTAATGAGACAATCAAGCCAAACAATGTAAGTAATGTATTTCGTATTAAATTCTGAACTAGTTTTCTATAATATGCATACATTATACTGTACAACCATTCGTCAAGCATTTTAATGACATCAGTCTTCATATTTGCTTATATCCAATAAATTGACAAACGCTCTATTGATTTTCGAATTAATAACGGCAGCAGAATGGATTGTGATTTTGTCCACCAAACTCAGAAGAAGCTGATTACATTTTCAAATGTATTTTAATGTTCTAAGTCACTATAAAAAATTATCACATGCGTACTATGTAATTTTATAATGATTGTTTTAGTGAATTCAGGTATAATTCGTTTCTAAAAATTGCCTTTTAATGTACATAAATGGGTTGGTCAAAGTCTTTTAAGACATGCTAAGTGACATGGGTCTGAATTGTATTTTTGCTGAAGGAGACAAGATATTCTGCTTATAACGGGTGAAATTCATTATAAAAGCTGAATATTGTTAGGAAACAGTATTTGAATAAATATGAATTAAAATGCTATGAAATTTCTGTTGATAGAAAGTGTTTTTCGTTTCCTCTATTCTACGTCATCATTTAGATTTACCTTCTCTCTTCTGTAAACTTATTTTCATGTGTAAGATTATGAAAAATATGTTGTTTTTTAAATATAATTTTAGTATAACAAAGGGCTCACAGAATGATTTACAAAATCCACCTAAATCATCAGCTGAACTGTTAGGTAGAGTGACCATCGGTCGATTAGAACCCAGTGGTTCCGCTTTGAATATTTCTGGACATGTTCAAAGTCAAGATATGCCACTGGATCGTTTTATAACACACAACATGACTAGAGTAAGTGATTATTCGATTTGTGACAGCTAACTTGTGGCATTTTGTCTTTAAACTCCCTGAGTAATATATATATATAGGGTACATAATGTTTGGAAGTAGCGAGACATTTATATTAAAAGTTATCAGGCTGCTGAAATCCGAAATAAAATGGCCTCACTCTTCTACAATGGAACATGTTTTATGTCGTTATATAGATTAGTGTTCTCCAGCCAACCACTTTTTGTAACTTGAAGGTGTGAGTCTCGAAAACAATAGCTTCAAAGTACGTGAACTATTTCATATATTCTTGCGGAACCTATCTATGTTGATGGTTTGTATTCAAAATGCTTAGCTATTTAGTCATAGATTCATCAACAGATCAATCGTCGAATATTTTAACAACGTTGATCACTCGAATAAAACAGGCTATTCACCCAGACACACCTTCATGTCCCGAATTAACCAATACAGGATAGTGTTCCTTTATATTTTTTTACAGATGAAGAGTCTCAACGTATGTGTTGGGTCTTTATTCTTACCATTTGTCTTAGATTTAGCCGAGCAAATCATTCCCTTTTTCATACTGTTAAATCCTCATTTCAGTACCGCAAAAAACAACCATACGCTGGACTCATTCTTAATAATTCTCATAAAACACTAAATTAATTAATTCACTAATTCTTGATATCTAATAACAAATGTCTTCTATAGAGCGTGATCCTCTGTTTATCTCTCGAGGACTATCTAGTTAAAGTTATAACAACGAGTCGCACTAGTCAAGTTTAAGTTATGAGTATCAAGGTCACAGGACACAAATAAAAAACATTCTGACTGTGGTCTGATCCCCGCTGATTTCAGTGATGATTTCTCAATAAATTATCTGCAGGCCACAACGTTTTATGAAATCTCTTCTACACTGCAACGAATGGTACAAAAGAATTGTACTGAGTTGATAAGTAGTCCATTCATCTAAATTCAGTCGAATTTTAGTATCTACATTAGAAATTTTTACAAAGGCTAGTTTGAGAGCTTCAAATAACGTGGTTTCTAACCTTCATCTATAACCATCAAGAACGATATTGAACCAGAGATAAAAATGTATTCAGACTACTGGAGAGTATAAGTGTCGTGCTGGTTGAGATATGATCACCATATGATTGTTTGCAACTCCTTTCCCAGTGGTGCATATGAACAATGTTCAAATAATTAGATTGCGCGTAAAAAACTAACTTCGAAGCTACAAAGCTTCAACAGCGAACATGATTTTGAGTCATGTGAGTGAACTCCTATTATTTAGTTATTTATTTATTTGTTTAAACGCATAAACATAAGTACAAAAAGGCACCAAATGGATATGCACCGCATAAATCATTCGATTTGTGTGAGGGCTAGGATACTGCGCGGTTGCCCAAACTGAAACGGGTTGAACTCCTATAACGAACATATTTCAATTTCAAAACAAAAGAACCACTAAATAACCCTGAAAAATCCTTTACCCCTACAAGAAAGATACATACATTTTAATGGTGTTTGTTCTCCAAAATACATTATTCTTTTTACACTTAATTTCTGATTGGCTGAAAAGGCAGAGAAGCTTAAGGTATTTTTAAGAGTTCAAAGTTCCTTCTTACACTGTAATTTTATACACATCTGGCACATAAAATGCTCGATATTTTTCAAGAAAACCATCAAAAGAAGCATACATTCATTAGTTTGGTGAACAGACATGAAGTAGCTAGGTTATGTGAATGCCTATGCATATACTTGTCTATTCATATTAAAAAAAATCAAATAACAGATTTTTCACAATTCAGTTGCAATTTTTATACTGTATGTATATTTCAGTAATTTTTTTCCATTTAAATTTTGCAAGTTCTACTACCCACCACCTGGCCAAGGTGATGGAGACCGAGGACATATTCTCTTTAATACACAACCTCTCAAAGAAACAGCAACTTCAAGATCAGTTAGACTACATTATCTTGAACCACAAACGCCATCAACTTATAAATCGGGTACCGATGATCCCTACCAATCAAAGTAAGCCTTTTTAATTTTACTCAAAAAATTCCCTACAAAAATACTAAACTTCATGAATTACAATTGTAAACATTATTCACTCGAAATAATCCATACTGTGTTTTGTTACAAATCATACTTTCTAACATACTTTATATCTTCAAACGTTTACACAGCTAATTCTGATCCCTTCACTTAAAACCTTTTAAAAGTTTAGAAGTGAATTTTCTTAGCATCATATTCCTTATGTCACACGAGTAACACAAACCAGCTGAGTTATGGTTACAATAGTATAAATGAGAAATCATGTGCATTTGTTTATCTTATCACTATATAAAAACGATTGAACTATCAAGAGCCTTACTCAAAAACCTGGAACTCATTTGACGATGTACGAATGTACGAAAAGACTACTGACCACATTTCTAAATATCTGTTTATTGGCAGGCATTAAGGTAATTAATATTCCGTTAAAGTTAAAGGTACAACCCAGACCAAGTGAGACGTGTTTAAAATATATTCAGTTTGACTGGATAAAGCTGCAGCTACTGCAGAAGCATGACTTCAATGACAGACGTGATTTCGAGGATCATATAAAAAATTGACACCTACCAGTTGAACAATAGAAATATTAGTTAGTAATTAGACTATTTTAGATAACGTTTGTTGGGAGACTGAGTCTTATAGACAGGGTTGATAAGTAAAGCTGAGGAATGTCGTCAGTTACTACTGAGGCTAAATTAGTCGTTACCAGGTAATTTAATCGACTGAGTTGGAGAACCAAACTTTTGACTAGGTTTCAACTTTGCTCCTTGTTTGGTTGTATGTGGACGTTAAGCATCTCATTTTTTATGTTAATGTTAATCTGTTCTACCACAACACCTTTTTTTGTTTCCAGAAGTATTGTGGCAAGAGATACACTTCTCAGACGGACGACGAAGAATATTATGTGAATTTCTATCTACCATTACTTTTTAGCCAAAAGAAATAAACTGGTTTACTGTTCTAAAACGTTTTCTGGTATATTTCTGTCACTGACGGTAAACAGGTAGTATACTAACAATTAATACCCTCGATTTTCAAAATGCCTTGTACTATAATAGTTTCTGAACGAAATGAAAACCGAAGGAGGTTTCTTCTGAATTTTTTAATAAAAAAATAAAGAAAGGAAAACAATAATATAACTCTATACATATTTGGAGTTCTATGTGTGACATGATTATAATTCTTATCATTTAACTAGTTCAGGACGTTTATGAAATCCTTTGCCGCAAGTGTGCCATGGATGTTATTTAAATCATTTTCCTTCCATTAAGAAAAAATGTAGTTCAGTGAGGAAGTAAATACATAAAAGTAGGATGATCACAACTGAACAGTAAATAACTAATGTTCCGGAAAGAATTACAGAAGGTGTCCCAATTTATATGCATGGTCAGATTGATAAGTAAAAGAATATAAAGTATAAATGACAGACATATAAGGGTAAATTGTTTGAAAGGGCGTAGTTGATAAATTGTTTTGATAGGAGATTTATTACTGGTATTATAACAATGTAAAGCGGTAATTCGAAACCAATAATTTTCTCAGGAGAAAGACTGGGACGTCATGTTATATTTAAGAGTTATCTCAGTCTCGTTACAGGGTATTCATAGCTATCTACAACTGGTGAGAAGAAAAAGAAAACAAAGGGGAAAGAGAACGTTTGCTAAAACTATTGTGATAGGTTTATCACTATAAATTTTCTAGTTGGTTTTTTAATCTAATGATTTGAATAAATTTTATTTGAACTAGTCAACTTAGCCAGGGATGGCGTAGGGGTAAAATATCAACAAGGAAGAAAGCTCAATAAGTATTCTCAGTAATGACAATGGTCAAAAGTTTACTGTTTCCATAATCTCACTAACGAAGTAAGATGTAGTCAGTGGTGTAAGCATTCTCAGGGCAATTTCAGTGAAGCTGTAATCATTGATATAGTGTGCAAACTAAGATTGTAATTTTTTCACGGATTGTTGGAAATTATTCCAGGGTCTCGAAATCTACTCGCAAAGTAATTCATACAGAGATTTAGAATGAAGCAATTTTACTTTTGATGGAAGTCACGAATGTTATAACTAGGTGACTCTTCATCATGGATCCCATCAGTGGATATGAAAGACAACATATTGAATATTTTGGAGAAAAATATTAGATTCAGTCTAAGTCGCTACTTCCATAAAGATTCAAGTCATAATTTAATGCATCCGGATATACATTTTAAGGTACAATCACTCCCGAAAATACGGAACGTAAGGCCCCGCTAGGCGGATAACATTTTGAGTTTATCTTCTATGCGAATACTACTGAGAATAAAGTACAGTATTCTAAAATTGATGGGACGTATACTTTGTAAAGTGTTATAGAAGTTGTATTATTTACAGACCAGAAGTTGCCATGACTTGGAGGTCTGCGTTAAGATTTTCTCTAAGAAGGGCGAACCGTGAGAATATCTGAGTCCCAAGTCTACCAATGAATGGAACCAAGATAGTACTTTACCGTCTTTGGCGAAGCTGAAATCTAGAAAAGGACTACCAAAACGAATCCACTCACATTTTGCAGTCCCAAGTTCTAAGTTCCACTTCCAGCACGATAAGGTGACCTTACTGATCTTCTTACTGATATACTTTGTATATGGCGAAGCTTGTGAAGAGAAAGTGAATCATCTATGCACAGGAGGGGTTTAATCTTCCTGAGGCATTCGGAGATATCATTTATATTAGCTATGAAGAATATATCAAAGACTACTTTGTATTACATTACTTGTGCCTGGAAGAGAATCCAATAACTTCACCTTATAATTTTTTTACATTATTCTAGAGACAAATGAAGTAGTATTAACTGTCCCACAGTTGTCCAAGTTGGTCTTACCTTCAGATTTGTAACGTTTTGTTATATTTGTGGTATTCCACCGGTTAGAATTGGCCCTTGTGTTCAAGACAGTGTAGAAAGTTTTAGGAGAAGTAATGGAATATCAAGTCCACCTGAATACTCAGTGACTAACTGAAACCTTAAGGAAGGTTGTAGCTTTACTAATGTTGAGATAAGTGACAGAAATAGATTCCATAAAGCTACTAGTCATGTCCGTAACCTTTGCTCCACCCTTTTACAGAAGTTATAATTGTTCACAAAACACAAATGAAAAGGCTGGTTATGGTTATAGAATTACTGATAAATAGATCATTATAGAAGATTCAAGAGATATCTACATTTTTAGATGCACGAACGCGTTTGTTGAAAAGAGGAACTGAGTTTCGCACTTCTAAGTTATTGTCAAAGTACTAAGAAATCTTCATCACTTGGCTTGTAAACTATGAGCTTCTTTTTATTTGGATAAAATTTATAATTATTTGTACAACTGCTGGAAAATCATTCAACTTGATGTAACATTTCTGCAAGAGTTTAGTTTATTGTGATGCCTAACTTTTGTGGATAAATCATTTGACTTAATAGTTCTGTATGTTTTTACTAGTGCAATGGAATCCAGGCAAGAATTATTGATTAAGTAACATATGTCTAGTGCACCTTCTGGACTATTACTAGAGAAGAAGCTACTCTAATCTGAACACTTTAACAGGGTTTGCAGGAAGTCCCAGTTGTCACTTTTGTAATCCCAGTATTAACTGATTTTTTGTAAGAGAAGGCTTTTATTAGGGTTGATAATGATAATAATGGAATCGATGGCCGTTTTATGATCACTACGTTTAAATTCTGTGTTTACGTGTACGGATAGAGAAATAATATCTCCACAAAATCCAGGCTGAAGGTGTCCGAAGTATAAATGACGGTCTGGCTAACACGGCTCTGGATTTTAAGGTCGAAAATTTACTTAGAAGTGAATATGTATTGATAAGTAGTAATTATTCGTATTCCACACAGCTTCGCATTGATTCTAGGATCTCATTATGTTATCAACCTACCTAGTGGTGTAATCAAAAACGTTTAAACACATCAAACTTTTAAGTCCGTATGATTTTGTATACTGATCTGCGGCAAACATATTCATATGTTACAATGTAATCATAGGTAATTATTTATTTTGACATAAATGTCACTGATCAAATATTTCATTCTAGAATCGTTAATTACGAAGACATTACAGAAAAGAGTTTGCACATTAATGGTTTAATTTACCTAAAGTATAACTCGTTTCCATAATCATTAAGCAATCATAATTGACTCACGAATATGAGGTAGCAGAATTCACAACTAAGTTTCAATATCTCATTATCGACTTCATCTCACCAACATATGTCTTTAAATTATATTGATTATGCTAATTATTATAGCTTTCGACATTAACTCTATGTTTGCTAATCGAATCTATACCTTGGTTACGCAGTTAAAACAACTATTTGTTTATGATAACTTATCACCAATAATAATATAGTACGAAAATGATCTTTTTAAGTTGATGTTGTGATCGTTAGTCTCACTTTTGGTGTATTTTCAATAGTTAAAAATCCAATGATATTATAATGCAAAATCAGTCATATATTTATCCAAACTCTGATGATCTTGTTGAATCTCTGATGACTTCTAAATGTTCCATCGCGAAATTGTCGAGAACTGCAATGATGCTGACTACCTCGACGAATGATATACTTTTTAATACAGTAATGAATTCGCACCTGAAAATGTACTTAATTGCCATGAATTCCACTTTAATATGCATCACATCTGTAGATAATCAATGAACTTATAGAAACCTGCACTAACACTGTTTATTACTTTTGGATATTCTTCGGCGAAGTCTACGACCATTTCCACACCACATAATATGTTTCTGCGCTGAACCAAAATCCAAGTTGTTCTGGTTGCTCCAAAAAATATACAAGAAAAATGCACAAACTACTGTAAAGTCTTCATATATATCTTAAAGTTGATGTCATTACGACATTTTATGGTTTTTCCACAAGGCACACGAGTACTTTTTTCGGTTTAAATAGATATTCACCTGGTTAATCAAGTCTAAACTAGGAAAGTTTATTGCGATTGCTTACCATAAGTTTGAACAAGATGCTGTGGACACCTTATTTTAAATTACGTGACCAAAATACACTAATTAATTGACCATTTCCTGAAAAACTAATGAATTTCAAGAGGAGTAAACAATTTAAAATAACATACTTTCAAAGTAATAGTGTACATTGATTTGATTTGTTGATTGTCCTTAAATAAAGAGATTTCAAAGCAATTCACTTTTCCCCAGTGTAAAATAGTCAAATATAAACAAATAAAACAAGTTTTGTAATCAACCTACGTTTTACTTACAACTAGTTTCAGCACAAGCTGCACGTAATGCTTACATAGTTCATGCACTTTTCAAATTAGGTAACAGAAAGTGACCAATAGATGAATATTACTGTAATCAGTACATAATGAGTAAAAATTAACCTGGTATTTTAATAGTCCGATCTTGTATAATAATTTTCTTTTCACTGTTGTTAATTTAAAGACTATCGAGTTATTAATCCATTGGATATGTATTCAATAAACATGATTAAAAGACATGGTGGAATTACAAGATAAATATTTGACATTTAGTGATCTATGCAGTGTTGTGATTTACATAAATCTGTAATAAATGGGACATTCAAATTTTTGAATATTTTTGTCCTTAAAGTACTATATTTTTAATATAATCAAGAACGAATGGTTTCACCTTACATTTCCAGATAATATGGATGAATAATCTTCACCATTGAATATAACAACCCTGGCCAAATGAGCCAATTTTATGCATAAGTATTGTTCTAATGAATAAAGCATGTTTACAAAACAATAAAATTCCTTTTTCCTTAAATAAATTGGTTCATAATGGGTAAATTGCTTCGATTAATTCTCTGACTGTTAACAGGAGTGAAAACAGTAAATATTTCTACTACTGTTGGGGGGGGGCAAGTTAAATTATTCAATG